ACCGCCGCTACAGCGGCTACAGCCACCTCCACCTCATCACCACCCGCTTCTCCGTCAACCGCCACTACCTCAGCCGTTTCCTTCGCGATGGCCGCTGAATCTAACATCAACATTACCTCCCTGAACACACAATTCGTCAATAGCCTCCGCCGCAAACTCATTGGCAAACAGGCTGACGCCCATGAGGCCCCCGCTTACTCTTTCACCCTCTTCTCCCTCATCACCTCAATGAAGGCCACCCTCGACTCCCTCCAAGCGTCCCTCTCTGACCTTTCCAGTGCGATAACCACCCCCGAACAACAACATGCCTCCTCCATCATCCAGGTCGTCACCACCACGTCCCCCTCCTCCGCTTCGGGCTCCATCACCCTTCCCCCACCCTCTGCCTCCATATCTACCTCTATTACCTCCTCCTCCACCTCCACCGCTCTCTTTGCTAGCACGTCATTCACGCCTCGGACTTCATCCACCACCACCTCCACTACGGTCATCGCACCTCCCCCCTCGCCTAAGACAAAAACCCTCATCTTGAGTTTTTCTAATGTGCTCTACGGCTTGCTGCAGCATCTGTTCATACTTAACAGCAAACTCTATGATGCCAGGTGCTGCAATGGATTCTCTTTCCGTTAGTAAGAAGTCCAAGGCAGTTCTAGGCTTCCAGCCAAGATGCAGTTGATTGGGAGTTATTCCGGTAGCACTGTGCACTGCGTTATTATACAGGCTGGCGACGAGAGGTAACTTCTCGTCCCAGTCATCCTGCCTTGGCTTGATGTAGTGCCGCAGCAAATGCTGTACCACTCGGTTCATCTATTCTGCCTGTCCATTTGACTCAGGATAATTCCCTGATGTCATCTGGAGTTTGGTTCCCATCTGTTCAGCTGTAGACTGTCACAGTTCGCTGGTAAATCTTACATCCATGTCGCTTACGATAGACGTAGGTAGATCGAAATCCCTTACCCAGTTATCCATAAACAGCTTGATGACGTGATCTGTCTTTGCTGTGTCCGGCATTGCGATAAGTCTGGCATACTTAGTAAAGCGATCTACTATGACGAATATGTGTCGTTTGCTGGTCTTGCTGGTCACAAGAGTGTCCATAAAATCCCTGGAGACACTCTGACCTGGACCTTCAAGGATCGGCAAGGGCTTGATCAGCCCAAGCGGAGTCTAAGTCCTGGGTTCGTCTCTTTGACAAACCTGACAAGTCTCGACATACAGTTTTGCATCCTTCATCATAGAAGGCCACCAAAACTTATGTACTAAGTTTGCTGATGTCTTCTTATAACCAAAATGACCTACAGCATCATGACATTCTCCTAAAAATAAACTACGCAAAGACTCACTATCCGGAACACATAGTCTTTTAAACCCTGCCTTTTCAAGGAACAGCAAGCCATCTACCATGGTAAATTCGTCCAAAGTCTTCTTGTCCTTTGCTTGGAATCTACGAATGATCTCTGATATAACTGTATCTCCCTGATAGGCTTCCACCAGCGATCGAGTAAGATCATTAGATATGCCGAATGCAGTTACTAGTGCGCCTAGATAGTCTGCCCTTCTTGACAGCGCATCTGCCACTTTGTTGTACGGACCTTTGATAGGATCAAGTTGATAGTCATACATATCTATCACTTGAATCCATCTCTTGAGTGCGTCAGACAACACGGGCTGCGTCTTAATCCAGCGCAGAGTCTCATGGTCAGACCTCACATAGAAAAATCTCCCTAGGAGGTAATGTCGCCAATGAACTAGCGCTCTATATAGGGCGTATAGCTCTCTTTCTTAAGTGGACGCAGCTAGCTTCTTGGAAGGCATCTTCTTACTCATATACTCAATCGGTCTCAACTTTGGCCCATCCTGTTGCGCAAGGACAGCGCAAATGCCATATTGGCTGGCGTCTGTTGTCACGACAAACGGCTTGTCATGATCGGGAAGTTTGAGAACTTTATAGTGTGTTAGAGCATACTTCAATTGCTTGAAGCTTGCCTCACACTCTTCAGTCCACTCCCAAGGGGTGTCAAGTCAAGTAAGATCTGTCAATGGGGAAGCTATAGTACTATAGGTTTTCACAAACGGACGATCGTAGCCCGTCATCCCCAAAAACGATCTGACCTCAGTAACAGTTTGAGGTCTGGGCCAGTCACGTATGCTGGCCACTTTCGCATCTTCCGGCCTCAATCCATCTGCTGAAATTTCATGACCAGCGTGCTCCTCTACAGTCCTACTGAAGATGAGAATATCGTCGAGGTACACGACGATACACTTGTCCAAGTAGTCATGAAAGATCCTATTCATCGCGTGCTGGAACGTACCAGGCGCATTGCATGGGCCAAAAGGCATCACCACAAACTCGTACAGACCGTACCTGGTCTGAAATGCGGTTTTGTGTTGGTCCTCAGGCCTAACGGCAATTTGATGGTATCCGGACTTCAGATCTATCTTTGTGAAGTACCGACATCCCTGCACTCTATCCAAGAGGTCGTCAATGCGGGGTAGGGGCTCCCCGTTCTTTACGGTGATGGCATTGAGGCCCCTATAGTCAATGCACATCCTTAATGGACCTCCCTTCTTAGGAACAAATAAGACTGGCGCACCTTAAGGGGAGGTACTGGGCCGTATCCATCCCTTCTCTGTGAGCTCTTTAAGCTGGCAGCGAAGCTCATCTAACTCCGCAGGAGACATCCTATAGATTCGTCCTCTAGGCACCTTACTACCTGGGACAACCTCTATTGCATGGACCACCTCCCTTTCCACCACGCCTGTGGGCTCCTCAAAAAGGTCTGAATATTGAGCGACGACTTAACTATCTCTGGGGGTGATTTTACGGCCTCCCCTTTCTCAGAGATAAAAACTAGATACATGTCTTCCTCGCGATTCTGTTTATAATAGTTATAGAAAGATGATGCACACATGCACCCGTAGTTTTCTATTAGACTGCTAGCTTTGAACTTTTGCAATCTAACAGATCTACCGTTGGGCAACTTGTGAATCAATACCTTTCTATCCCAGTCCAACTGTGGTTTCGCGGCCTCGAGGTAGTACATACCTAGGAGCATATCAAAAGGAAGTTCGTCGCTAACCAGGAAGGAGATCTTGTGGATCACTTCCCCTCCTCCATAGGAGAAGGAACAGGCTACGTCCTTGACATAGTATTTTACTACCATCTTGTGCTTGTTGGCTAGCGTAGAAGCTACAGTTCTGCTAAGCCGCTGCACTTGGTCCCCTAAGCGCAGTCTATCCACACAAGCACGACTGATGAAATTTTGTGTAGAGCCTGTGTCTGCGAAGGCGCCAATCTTGCGGCCACCTACATCTACTTCTACCACGAAATGTTCACCCTTTGGACCTCCACTCATCATCGCCCAAGAGTCCCTGGGGTCCTTCCCTGACTACTCAGTCTCTAACTCTTCTAGGGCCTCAGACACATCTTTCGAACAGAGCGTCGTTGGGTCTGTATGTGTCTGCGGGGCGATACGTGGGTCACTAGCCTTGGCCAACGCCTGAAGTGGGGAAGGCAACATTACCACTTCAGTGCGAGTAAGAGCGGCTAACACTCCTACTGGCCCGAGGTGTTTCCCTATGAGCTGCTCGCAGAAGCACTCGCAGGTTTCGAAGGTAAGCCCACCACAGTTGGTGAGGCTACCTTCGTTGTGACTTTCTTGCCGCGGCAAGTCCTGGACATGTGGCCAAAGTTGCCACAGTTCATGCATGTACCCCTAGCAACGAGGTCACGCCACACCTCGTATTCTAAACCAATCTTCACCCATGCGGATGTTCCTTGGTCGCCCTGACCCGTGGACCGTACTACCTTCTTCTTCCCGGTCCCCCTAGCCTTTTCTTTGATGGGTGTCACGACTCCACCATCTGAAGTCTCACCACCCCCATCGTGCTCTGTGAACTCCCCAAGATCTGAGTAGTCGTCAATCTCCGTCGTTTGACCATCGTGGTCAACGAACATTAACTGACCCCTTTTCTTCCAATCTTGGGACAGTCTCTTCCTACCATCATTGGATGCCTTATGCGCAAATCCTAGCTTTGCCTCTATGTCCAGTGCTTTCTTACTAAAAGAAGCAAAAGTGTGCTGGTCGATATAGGCCTCATCAACCAGCTTGGTCCTTACCTCTGTAGGTAGGCACCTTAGGTAATCCGTTAGGAGAACCTGCGGGTCAAAACGCACACCAGGTACCACGAGAAGGCGTTTTACGGTGTCTGTAAGCTCTCTAACATCCTTGAACCTACGGGAACAAAGGTTGTTGATAGCATCGGTGGCCTTTTGAGCCCCTTGCGGGTCATTCCACCTGTTGTAGACGGACCGTACGAACTGTTCCAATGTCTGAGACTGAGCCCAGACATCGAAATCCTGACCGTAGCCCTGTTGCTGCACCAAGCCATTCAACCAGCGGGCTGCTGATCCTTCTAAAAAGGAGGCAGCCATTACCACTTCCTGTTCTAGCCTTGTGAGCTTGTGCCTCACATAAGTAGGCACAGTCCTCACCCAGGTGTCGAAGTCTTCCTCCCTCTTCTTGTCTCCAGAGAAAGGCTTGGGACTCATTAAAGGTATCTTGGGCATCCACTGCATCGGCTGCATGGGCCCAGGTGCTTGATGCAGCGGCTGCATAGCCACTGAAACAGGCTGTTGCAAACTAACCTGGGCCTCGCTGGACAGTGGGACTGTAGTGACCACTGTTGTAGACGGTACGACTGAGACTGAATGAATCGGACCACTAGTTGCACCTAAACCACCCGGGGAGGGCATGCCAAACATGGGAGAGAAAGTTTGCCCTATGCGTTGCGGCATCGATGATAGACCCGCACCTACAGGGGGAACTACAGCAAACTGTGGCGGCCTCGCCGTTGGGCGAATGCCCCTAAGTTCAACCAGAATTTGTTTTTGGCCTGCTACCAAATCAGCCAACAATTCCTGTTGAACGCTTTGCGCTTCCGCCACTGAAAGTAAGGCGCCTCGCAACACACGAACAACAGGGTCTAATGTTGCCTCATCTAGTCTTTCCTTCTCCTTTCTACTACTTCGTCCATCTGCCGCTGTAGCTCATCCTGAAGTTCTTCTGCTTGCCAGATTTCCAAGTCCTGCGGCGTGATAGGAGATAAGCTGACTCGCACATGACCAATCTGGCTAGTGGCTGCCTGAGTACCACTCCGACTGACTCCTGACGAAGTGGGCTGTGTAGAGGATTGCGTCATAGATGAGGTAGCCATGGTTGTACTGATGCTAGCTGTAATTCTAGCTCTAGCACTGACCTCAACTGCCCTCGTTCTCCTTGTCGGTGCCCTCTCTCTAGCCTCTCTCCTGAATCTTCTCTCGTCTCCTGGACCTAACTCCAGGAATGTCAAGGGTCGACTGCGGGCAGTCCCGCGAGTAGTCCTACGGTCGTCCACTAGTAGCTCCTCCTCACTTGTGCTTGCATCACTCATGAGCTACAGTGTGTGTGATCTAAACTAGAACCCACACTGAATCCTACCTTAGCTTGACACACAACCGATTATGAAACACAACTACTTTCCGTCGGATAGGAACAAAACAGTTGGGTGATATAGTTACAACTAATGTCAGGTCCTACAGGATATATTACATCTATTTTTAGATTACCCTGGAACAGATTGCAATTCAGCAAAGATCTAATCTATCTACTCAAAGTATTACATAATTATAGTTGATAAAAAGATATAATTTTTATCTCTACTACAGAACCGTACATGAAACTTTGATTTCATACGGCTCCTTAATAACTAAAGATATAAAAAATAGAAACGAGAATAATCAAGATATATAAATGATATAAATACAAAAGAGATTGAACAAGTGAAGTAAGTAATAATATAGTAAACAAATCATACAATATGATAATACGTATATATACGTATTATCATATTGTATGATTTGTATCATATTGTAGCTGTCTGTCAGTTGTCAGCAAGTCCGTAACAACTAGATAATCAAAACAAAGAATAACATCTCCTGTTGGAGATGTATGCTTGATGGCAGATTGTCTGTTGATTGCAACTGCGAACAGTTACCGGAATCCCCCCTCCCCCTGTATCCTTCTTGAGTAATCACTTTGTGTCAACGTCCCTGAGCATCTGGTTGAGCAGCGTGTCTAAAGGTGTGCAATCCGGTCCCACCCCTGTGCCTCAAGTCATCGTCGAGCAAGGCAGCCACAACACTCTTCTTTAYCCTCGTACGCCGACGAGCCTTACACCCGGTTGATCTGGCTGATCAGGAGGATTATTAAGAGCGCCCCCATCTCTTCAGGAATTATTTAACGTCGCAGTCAGGACGACGATCACAGCCAGATTCCCCAACCAGAAATGTTTATAGACGGTCTGATGCGCGTCTCATAGAGGCTACCATGCCCGAGTTGACCCCTATTTGCGCAAGCAGCAGAACAAGGACTTGCGGCCCAAGCATGCGTGTACTAGTCCCAGCGGGTTGGCATGGTGACCGTGACCCGAGTGCTTCGTCCAAGGCCCTTCAGAGGCTTCGCCCGTCTCCCACCAGCTTTCTGCCCAGGAAGAATGTCGACTCTCAAGGTTGAGCGCTCGCGACACCTCACATCGAGAGGACTCTCAAGACAGAACTCCCCTCCTCACGGTAAGAAGAGATGAAGAGGGTAGATACGGAAGAGAGCAACGTACCTCATAAATGCTGCCCCCAACCACATATTTCTCACCGGTAACCTGATGTGCAATTATGATGACTAGTCTTTGCTTCGGCACAACCAACAGCAGAATGCGGTTCCACCTCAGCTTAATATGTCACGTCAGCAAGTTCTCATCATCCAGCATACATCCCGTATGTCACCACATAGCTCCCTTGCGCGCCCACACAACCCTGGGCCGCCTAATGTTCAACGCCAATTCCGTATCACTGCCCCACACCTCATGTGAAGCACCAATAGCTATTGCGAAGAACCAATGAAGCGCAATATGAACCAGCTCCGATACCAAATTGCAAGGAAAATAAGCAGCAGCAAGATGACAATCCCAGATCACACCATCACATTTCAAGTCAAATAGTCACACCGTGTCCAGATAGCAGCATTGCACCAATAATACACCAATGGAGTTTCGTAGCACTGAAAACCAATGTCCGTGGAAAGCACACTCTCTCCCTCAACACACGAGTCCAGTTCCCTTACACTCACACTTGGCGCTCAGCGCCCAGCCTACTCCTACACAGCTACTACAGACTACAAAAAGACAATGCAATTGTTGACATTAGCAGCAACCCGAAGTACTTGAAGATGCCGCCCATGCAGACCTTCGCCAATACAAGGTACGTACCCTCACATCATCATCATCATCATCATCCTTCACCTATCCCCTGACTTCACCCACACCTGTCCTCTCTGTCACCCGAAGACCACCCCTGCGCTTCACTGTAGTCCAAGCCCACCAGCTATGGTGGCTGGGCTATGGCGCTGCCCTTAGCAGCGCCCTCCTCATCTGCACGACCGCACGTGCTGCACCTTGCCTCCCAGTGCTAGCAGCAACCCACGAGCATCTTCTCTAGCAGCACTGCCGCCAGCATGCGAGTGTCTGAATGAGGCTGCCTGGCCAGAGCTCTTTCCTTTATGGAAAAGAGCTGGCTAGCTCTCGCAGCCTGGCTGGGCTGGCCTGGGCTCAGCAGCTTCCGGAAGGCCTCAGGATGTTGTCTGGATGCAGCAGCTACTAGGGTGCTGGGCCTCGTTCGGTTGGGCACCCAACCGTCTCTGTATGAGGCTGCGCATCACGCCCAGGGCCTGCATTCTTTCGAAAGGCCCGGTAGGCCGTGAAAATGTCTTCGGTACTCGGCCTGTGTTTCTTTCAACCAACTGACGCGTCTCAACTGCCTGGACCCCAAATATGAAATTGGCAGTCGAGGGCCTCTTGCAAAAAGTCAGGCCCGCCTTCACTTAGGGCGGGTAAGGCTGCAGACAAGGCCCAGTAGGCCTACCGAGGACACTCATCCTCGCACAAGTGAAGAATCAAGTAAAACATGGAGAGAAAGTGGAAAAATAACACATTTAAGCTCACACACACAACGGTAAAAGTAGCGATTTACATAGGAGTGGAGAAATGGACAATGCAAGCACTCTACATTACAAGAACACTAGATTACACCAAGGTTGAAGTAGTGAATTACTCCCAAGTAAAGAATCAAGTGAATCATGGAGAGAAAGAGAGAAAACAACAAATTTGAGCTCACACACACAAAGGGAAAATTAGCGATTTACATGGGAGTGGAAAAATGGACAATGCAAGCACTCTACACCACAAGAACACTAGATTGCACTAAGATTGAAGTAGCGAATTACTCCCCAGTGAAGAATCA